CACTGTGTGTGTGTCAGTCAGTCTGTGCGGGCGTGTGCACCACTGTGTGTGTGTCAGTCAGTCTGTGCGGGCGTGTGCACCACTGTGTGTGTGTCTTCCAGTCTCAGTGTGCTTCTCTTTCTCAGGTGTGCCACAGCTCAATGGAGCCAGCAATCCCAGCAGTGTAAATGGCATTCACACATGTAAAGGTGAGGTTACTGGGGCATCATTACTGTTCTGTGGAGTGAATTTCTTCTGCTGCTTTGCTTCACTGTCTCCCAACTGTGTGTCCGAGCCCACTGTCAGTGTCAGTGTTACTGTATCAGTGTCAGTGCCGGTCTCAATATCACTGTGTCAGTGTCAGTGTTGGCATCAGTAACTGTCTCGTTTACATCCACCAGTGTGTCAGCATGTGTGACGTATGTGAGAGTGTTATCCTTGTGTCAGTGTCTGTGCCGGGTGTGAGCGGCGTGTCAGTGTCCGAGGCGGTTGTTACGTTGAGAACATGATTCATGAGGCCGATCCTCCCCTCCTGTGCCCAGACCTGACGGAGATCCAGTGCTCTCTGGCGGACGTGAACGGAGGCTACGAGCCGCTGGGGGAGGAGCTGAGGCAGAGGCACGGCCGGCAGGCCGCCTCCCTGCAGCAGAGGCAGCGGGCGCGGCTGGAGGCCGGCCGCCTCGCGCAGTGGCTGAGCGGCAAGGAGCAGAGCCTGGCGCTGCGGCCGGCGGCCTCGCCCTCCAAGCCGGAGGCCGTGCGGGCGCAGGCGGAGGAGAACAAGGTGAGGGGGGTGCGAGCGACTCCGTGGGGCCCCTCCCCCTGCTGGCCTGCTGGCCTGCTGACCGCTGCTCTCTCCCTGCCTCAGGCCCTGCTGTCCGAGCTGGCGGAGAGCTCTGGGAAGGTGGAGGAGCTGAGGGCGGCCCTACAGCAGCTGATCGAGGAGAACCCCGACGCGCCCGAGACGCAGAGCTGGAGGGACATGCTGAAGGACATAGGTGAGGCTCTGCGGAAGAACCGTCTCCGCTGCTCCCTGCTGTAGGACATTATTGATCAGCGTGCCCGACGCCAGCTCTCTGTCCCTCCCTCTTCCTGTCGCCATGGTTATCTAAGCCCACACCTCTCGCAAACGTTGCCATGGCTCCTGAGAATTTGAGCTGTCTGCTGTTGCCATGTGAAACGTACTGTTGCCATGGTTTCCTCAGCCCCGACGCTTGCATGGTTGCCATGGCGTCCGCGCTGAGCCCTGTCCGCGCTCCCTCCCCAGGTGCGCGGTGGGAGCGGGCCAATCGCACGGCGGAGCAGCGGCAGGCGGAGCTGGAGGCCGCGGC